CTCGGGGGACAACAGAAGCGCAGAGAACAGGCCTGGTGCCGGTTCATTGTGTGTCAGCTGGGCTAGGCTAAGGGACCCAGGGTTTGGTCACACATCACTGTCAATGTGACCGTGAAGGGATCTTTCAGGCGACACTAACACTGAAATCGGTAGACCCTGAGGGGAGCAGCTGAGCCTGCGTTCCTGTGGGTGGGCCCTGGCACCCGAGCGGCACCCGCAGACCCTGTGAGCCCGTCTCTTGTGTATATCGTGCTGGTTGTGTTTCTCAGGGGAATCCTGGCTGCTAGACAGTTATAAGGCTGTAAGCACGAACGCACAACTACTACCCACGCGGGCACATGTCAATAAAAGGCAATTATTATGGGACCGTTTCGTATAAAGCCACAGAAGTGGATCGATGTCGTCGACAAAAGCATGAAGCACATAGTACGACTGTCACACCAGCTCCTGGAGAAATATAGAAGAGCACACTTAAGGACATGCATTTTTTTTCAGTCTGTGGAACATGTTTTCCAAGTTCTTGACACATTTGGCCTCTGTTATGGGCTGAACTGTGTCCCTCCCAGAAAGAGATGTTGGGGTCCTGCCCCCGCCCCGGTTTGCGTGAATGCAGCCTTATTTGGAGACAGGGTTTGCCCAGCGGTGATCAAGGTGCTCCGAGGTCATTGGGGGGGGGGCGGGCAATGGGACCGTGTCTGTATCAGAAGGGGGACAGCGGGACACAGCGACAGCCACACAGGGGGAAGGCCACGGGGGGCTGAAGGTGGAGATCCAGGCGACGCCTCCACAAGCCCAGGAGCCCCACGGATTGCCAGGAGCCACCGGAAAGGAGAGGACGGTCCCCTCTGAGTCGCCGGGAGGAGCCAACCCTGCCCACACCTGGCTCTCAGGCTTCCGGCCTCTGGTCTGCGGGAGAAGGGGTTCCTGGAGTTCGTGTCCCGGCGTGTGGCGCTTTGGCACGGCTGCCCTAGGAAAGTCATACACCCCCGAGACATCCTCACACCATTATCCGACAGGATTAGAAACCCTCAGAACTCTGGGAAATGAACTAGGGGTGGTGGAAAGAGGGGTGGGGGTGACTGGGTGACGGGCACTGAGGGGGGCACTGGACGGGATGAGCACTGGGTGTTATTCTGTATGTTGGTAAACTGAACACCAATAAAAAATAAATTTATAAAAAACATAAAGGGCTGACGTTAATGAAGCAGAGAATGGAAAAAAAAAAGAGAAACAGGAAGAAAGAAAGGGTGAATCAAAATCCTGGGTTTTGTCCCTTTGCCAAGACCAAGGAAATGTCTGCACGAGACGGGATAGCGCAGCACACACTGAAGAAACAGAATCCTGGTGATGCAGCTGAACCCTCCGGAGACGGACCGTAGAGGCTCTGAAACCACGGACGGGTGCTTAGGAGTTTTTGAAAGCGGCATCTAGTAAGATGCCATTTATACAGAGTCAGGGGCGCCTGGGTGGCTCAGCGGTTGAGCGTCTGCCTTCAGCCCAGGGCATGATCCCGGGGTCCTGGGATCGAGTCCCACGTCGGGCTCCCTGCATGGAGCCTGCTTCTCCCTCTGCCTGTGTCTCTCCCTCTCTCTCTGGGTCTCTCATGAATAAATATGTTTTTTTAATTTCATTTATGCAGAATCATACACGCACATGTGAACCAGGTGCATCTAAGGATGTGGGGGGGCACCTGTGGCGGCGGGGCTGCACCCCGTGTGACCTGGTGCATGGGGAGGGCTGTGTGAGTGTGGCACACACTCGTCTGCCGTGTAGGAAGTCTGTACGAGGCCAGGCATCGTGGGCGGGACGTGCCAACGCCCAGTGGGTCCCCCGAAGAAAGCACGGCAGGACGGCGGGCCTGGGTCATGGCTCCAGCTTTCTGCCTTTGGCTCGTGCGTGGCCTGGTGCAGACCTTGTCGTCATCCCATGATGTCCTACACGAAGACAAGCTGAAGGGCTCCCGGCCTTGTTACTTTGGGTCTCGTCCCTCTACAAGAATAGTTCTCGTTTTGGTTGGCTTGTGTGTCACGTCCTCCCAGTGTGCTCCCGATCACAGACACATCCCCACTGGCAGATGTGGACATGGCTTATAGGGCCGTGACATGTGACGACAGGCAGGTGGCTGGCCAGGGTGAGCTGGAGCGGTGGGGCTGCTTCTGTGGGTCTGGCCCCTCCCGTGCAGCACAATTACCCTGAGTGTGTCCCCCACTGCTGGGTGTCAAGAGCCCCGTCGTTGCTCAGCCGTGTGCTGGGACAGGGAGGCGCTGTGGCCTGTGCCACCTGCGGAGGGACAACAGTCCCGGACTATTATGAATGGAAGTGCCGTGAATGGTCATGTGTGCCTCTTTGTGTGGACCCATAAACTCACCTCTGTTGGGTAAGTAAAGACTGAGGAGTGGAATTGCTGGGTCACCGTGGCAGGTGCACGTTGAACATTTTAAGACACAGCCACGGTGCTTGTGTCATCTTACTTTTCTCCCAGTCCCTCCACGTGGTCACCAGCACTTGCTGTGGCCTGTCTTTTCGATGGCAGCCGTTCTGATAGATGGTAAATGCTTAGGGATTTGAAGAGCAGATTATGGACCGCCACCATGATTAGAAATGAAATTATATAAACTTCCAGTAATTGTAGAAACAAAGGACAGTGGCACCTGGGTGGCTCAGCGGTTGAGCGTCTGCCTTTGGCTCAGGTCATGATCCCGGGGCCCTGGGATCGAGTCCCACATCGGCCTCCCCATTCTCCCTCTGCCTGTGTCTCTCATGAATAAATAAATAAAATCTTCAAACAAACAAAAACACAGAGGAGTTCCCCAAACCCATCACTTTGCATTTGAGCAGCCCACTGCCATCCCTGTCCGGGCTCCGTCTCATGCCCACGGGGAGGGGTCCCCCCCCCAGCGTGCCCGCGTGGACGTCTCCGCAGCCTGGCGTTCCCTGACACCGAGGGGGCAGCGCAAGCGGCCTGCGGGCCTTAGTCCACTATCGCTTGGCCGATTGCGTGACCCTGAGCCCACAGTCTACTGTCGTGAGTAGCAACAGAAAAAGGCGGGGGGCGGGGGGCTGCTCGTGCAATCTTGGAAACTCTTACCCAACGGGCTCACGTGACAGTGAACACGGGCACTTCCCACATACATCCTTGTTCTTTCGCTTCCTCTTACTCAGTAAATGAAAATAGCAAGTGACACCTATGCGGAACCCACACTCGTGTGCTTACATACGCACACACAGGCACACACAGCCATAGGCTCACCTGCTCCCAGCACGCCGCTGCTCCCAGGCAGCAGTGGGGCAGCCCCCGGCTGTGTGCGTGGGGCCCAAAGCAGTGTGGCCCAGCGAGGGGGGCCGAGAGCCCGAGCTGGGGGCCAGAGACCGCTGGGCCCGGAGACCACAGCTCAGGCTGGCGGCCCGCCCCGGCCCCGAGTGAGAAGGGGCCCTCCTGGCATCAGCAACACGGCGGCCCAGAGCCCCAAGGCTAGACAACTGGGGCGCAGCCCCGTCGGGCACCCTCTGGCTCCGCCTCCCCCCGGGTGGCGGTCCCCAGCCTTCCAGCTCCTGCCTGGTGCGGGCTCCAGGGCTGACGGCCGCCGTGCCTGGCCTGTGCCCCTCTTCCCGGTGGGTGCTGTCGTGGGGCAGGCGGCCAAGCAGCCTTGCTGCGGAAGCTCAACAGCACCCCGCACCCCAACCTGGCGCCCTAGACGGCCTTCCCGAACCGCACGCCCTCGCGGCCTCGGCCAGGCCGGCGGCTCCCCTCCAACACGGCAACCCCAACCCCGCTCTCTTCTCTCGGGCCGCTGCCATCCTGTCCCCCCCCCCACCCCGCCCAGGCCGGCTTTAGTGGGTTCTCCGCAGAGCAGCCTGAGAGGCCTGTAAAAACAGAGATCACTTCTTGCCCCTCTCCTGCCTACGACCCTCTGTGGCTCCCCATCGCCCCGGGTCAGTCCAGAGCCCTCGCCCCGGCCGCGGGGGTGGCCCGAGGTGACCACTGCCTGCGTTCCGACCTCACCATTCCTGTACGTTGCACATTGCCGTGGCTCTAGTCACTGACCTAGTTAGTCCCCCGAGAGGGCCCGGCTGGCTCAAGGCTCAGGCCTTTGCTCATGCGAGTCACTCTCGGGCGTGGCCGCCCCACCCACCCCACCCCTTCTCACCTGCTCTCCCTGTCTTCTAGACATCCCGCCCTGCCTTGCCCCATTGTTTGGTGACACAGGCGGGGCCCCAGAGGCAGGTTACTGGCTCCCCAATGCCGAGCAGAGACAGCGAAGCTGCCTTCCCCACACAGCAGCCTCCTGGCCCTCCTCAGGCCAAGCCACACGGGACACAGGGCCCGGCACAAGGTCCTTCCTCACCGAGCCAGCTCCACACCTCAGGCACCCCCAGCCCGCGTGCACTAGTGGCTCCTCCTGGGCGAGGACTGGCCCACATGAGGCCCTTTCCGTGTGCGCCCGTGTGCGAACGGGGACGCACCCATATCCCCCACCACCCTGAGCACGGCAGGTGCTGTCCTGCACTGCGTGCCCATCTCCTTTCAGCCTGTTCCCACCTTGCAGAGCAGGGCCAGGTGCTCAGGAGAGGAAGGAGTGGCCCAGGGTCGGCAGGCCGTGCACCTAGACAGACGGACAGCTCTGTACGCACAGCACTCCGAGCCGAAAAGGCCAGAGCTGCCTGGCAGCTCTCTTCCAACTCCCTCCCAGGTGATTCTGCGTCCAGGGAGATGTCCCTAAGGCCCTGCTCACCAATTTTCTGGGCCTCTGGGATGACAACGCAGGGAGGGTACGATAACCGAGGCTACAGCAGACCAGTGAGGGAGGAGGGCCGAGGCTTACCCACAGCCCCCGCCTGTCACCCCTCGGCCCAGCTGGTGAGCAACGGCCACTCACCCACCCACCGGGCTCACCGCCAGCAGAGGTCACAAGGGGACAGCCCCAGGGGCTCCGCTCCGGCCTGGCTCCCTGTCTGCCCCCTCTGGGCAGGGTGGACGGCTCAACTGGAAACTCAGCGGGTGAGTAGCCGTTGATGATAAATTTATTGAGAGGCTGGGTGAAGGGTGGAAGCTTGCAGCAGCAAACCACTAGAGCACAGTCCCGGGATGGAGCTGGGAGAAAGCTCTAGGGCTACAAGGTGAGACGGCCAGGGCCAGAAGGCCTAGCAGGTGCACGGACCCAGGGCTAGCTGGCTGAGGGGGGCAGGGGCAGGGGCCGCGGGGCACTGGTCCGGTGCCAGCTCCGGACCGCAGAGCCTGACTGAAGGGTCAAACCCGGGGCCGCCCACGGTACTGGGAGTGGGCTTCATCCCCCGTCCCGCCCCCCCCGGGTGGTGGCATCACCCAGTCCCTGGCACTCAGGCTTCAACACTCGGGCCATCAGGTGGCACGTACATGGGCTCGATGTGGGCCCAGCTTCGGGCCCGCTCGTCTGCCCAGCCCAGCAGCTCAGCGGCGCGGTGCAGGAAGACCATGAGCAGGGTGTGCACGTCGCCCTCGGCCGAGTGGGCTGCACTGGGCTCTGCCCGGAAGTAGCGGCGGAAGAGGCTGCCCAGGCTGTAGCCCTTGCAGCCCTGGGCCCGGGTGCCGTGGCTGTGGGCGCGGTCCAGGCTCCGCAGCGCGGGCAGCGTATCGAGGCACGTGGTGTCCGGGGGCAGGTGGGCGCCCAGGCGCCGCAGCTCCGTGCACAGCAGCGGGAAGTCGTAATCGAAGCCGTTGTGGGCCACGAGGCAGACGGGGCCCTCCTGGCGGCTCAGGAAGGCCTGCAGCGTCCGCACCACGGCGTGGTCGAAGCCGGCCTTCCGGCACCGCGCCAGGCTGTCACTGCTCAGGCCGGTGATCTCGCTGGCCTTGGCGGTGAACGGGCGCTCCGGACTCATGCACAGCGTCAGCTTGTCCAGGACCCGGGGCACCACGGGGGCCCCGGACTCGTCGCGGTCCGGGTTCTCCAGGGACGAGCGGTGCACCGCAAACAGGGAGATCTCGGCCACCTCGGGATCTATATTGGGGAGCCCAGTGGCTTCCAGATCCAGGAAGACGAAAGTCTCGGCCCGGGGCGCCTCGGACATGGTGACGCGCTCACAGGGACAGCGAAGCCTAAAGCTGCCGGATCAAGAGGCACAAGACCTGAAGGCCAAAGTGACGGGAATGCCCCCGTGGCCGACGCTCCAAGCCCTCTGTCCAGGGCCAGGCACCCTCTCCATCCTGTGCCCCAGTCCCTCCCCGGCCATTGTCACTACTACCAACTAGGAAACAGCACAAGGTAGCGCTCACGTGCCCAGACCCCGGCCCGGAGGCCTCTGCCACCCGCCTCCAGGGACTTGAGAGGCCAAGTGTGCCAGGTCCGTGTCACCGGGGACCTGGGGAGGTGGCAGCCCAGGACGGGAGCTCCGCTGACACCCCTTGGCTGGGAGCCTGCGGCACAGCACCCTGGGCCTGCAGCCCTGGGGCCGGCCGTCGGGAAGCAGGCAGCCAAGCCTCCGCGGCCGGGCCTCCGCCGGCCTCCCCGGCACACAGGCGCTCTCCCCAGCCTGGCCACCTGCGTCCGGGCTCCCGGCAGCTGTCCTCACCCACCCTGCTGCTGGCTTACCTGGGCGGGTGCTGGCCGGCTTCCTGGGCTGCTGGGCACCTGTCTCCACACAGGCTGCTCCAGGCGGCCTTTAATCAGCGGCCGCGGCCCGCCCCCAGCCGCCTGTTGGGCAACGAGGCCTAAGGCCGCAGGACCTGTGCAGCCGGCTCGCCGCCCCCTCGCTCACTCAGCTGCTGGGACACACGCCCCGTGTTTACAAATTGGGAAGCAGGCTCCCGGGCCACACGCAGGCTCGCCGCGAGCCGGGAGAAACGTGTTGTCACAGGCACGAGGAGGAAGTGAGAGCCTCCCACCCAGCCTTCCGTCCGAGCCTGACCGGGGCCAGGATGTAGCAGCCGAGCTAGGGCGACTCCCACCGGGGCAGAAGTCCCCTTCCCCAGGGCACAGCTCCACCGGTGTCACAAGGAACCAGGCTGCCCGTCCCGAGGCTCCAGTGAGCTCGGGAGCGGGCAAGAGGTGCCTGCGGGTGCCGTGCGCAGCCCAGAGGGAAGGCCGCACTCGGGATGGGACCTCGGTGTCGCCTCGGCGACCTCGGGCACTTTCCACGCGGCCTGGCGCACACATCTCACAGGCTCATCCTCCACCAGGAAGGGGGAGATGGTATCTGCTTCACGGGGACAATGACCCATAATATCTAAGAGGCCTTTTGCAGAGGCTGCCGGGCCGGAGGAAGAGAGGCGAGGCCTGACCGGACTTGCCACATGGGCTCCGGCTGAGCCAATCCTGCCCCACCAAACAATGAAGGATGAGCAACGGGCGAGGTGGGGTGCGAGGTGCCTCCGCGGCGCCCCCGGCCCAGGAGCTTGGCAGTGGGAGTGAAGCCCTCCCCGGCCAGAAGTAGGTGGTGTGCCCGAGGACCTGGTTCCGGAGCGAGAGCTCCCGGGTGCCCACAGGCCCAGCGTCCTGCCAGGGGCACAAGGAGGCAGCCCGGGCCCGCCTGTCCCCCTGCTCCGATGGCAGCCTCCCTGTCTGGAGCGCCCGGGGGAGGTGAAGGCACACGAGCAGGCCCCTCCTCACGCTCCCTTCCGCCTGTCCCTGGGCTGCCGGAGGCAGAGGCCCCGCCAGTTATGCCTGTTCCCGTGCTCGCAGGAGGTACTGGGTCACCCTGGGAAGTCCGGAGAGCAGCTTCCTGGACAACCAGTCGGGCCACTGGCAAGAACTTCCCAGGCCCGTGCGGGGGAGCCCTGGAGAGGCCGTGAACGTACGCCCCGGCCACTGGAGCCCAGAGGGGCCAGTGCGGGTGGCTGGGCCGGGGGTCTGCAGGGAGGCCTCATGTGGGACCCCAAGGCCACTCACAATGGAGGCAGCGGGGGGGGGCCTTCTGGGGCTTGGCATCGCCCACTCTGGGCAGAGGGAGGAACAGAAGCAACGGAAGCTGATGCGACGCAGAGCGAAGATGGCCAGGGCTGGGGACACCCGGGACAGCAGGGAGCGAGCCCACAGCCAGGTGCGGCCCAGGATTTGGGGTGCCGGCACGGGAAGAAGGGCAGGCCGGGCGGTGGGGCGGCAGAGGAAGAGGCAGTCCTGAGGCGGCTCCTCAGAACCCGAGCTTCCCTCTCTCGCCAGCTCTCCCCTGCACTCTCCCTCCTCCCTCCCGAGTTGCTGCGGAGGCAGAGGCGCAGGCAGGCGGTGTGGCCTCTCCTGCCCGCCCTGTGCCCCCCGCCCCCGCCACCTGGCGCTTCAGGGCCCAGCGCCCGCTCGCAGACTACTCCACGCCTTTCTGCAGACTGTCACGGAAGACCTTGTATTTCTGAGTCAGTTCTTCCATTTTGCTGGCTGCAGAGGAAAAAAACAAAACAATAAAACAGCGAAGTGACCCCTAGTGCTCTCCAGCCCAGAAGAGGCTGCTCCCCCTCTGCCCCCCATCCCCCTACCCCCGCAGCCAAGCCTTCACTGGTTCTCGGGGCCCCAGGCGGCCCTGCACCTGACCCTCGGCAGCCTAGGTGCCCAACTCCCACCGTGACCCACAAACTGCCGAGCAGGAGCTGCTCGGAGGTCTGGGTGCTGGTGGGTGCAGCGGGAAGGCCCCTGTGGGTGCCAGGCTGAGGTCCAGGCCAGGTAGCACTCACCAGGTCACATTCATGCCCACCCTGACCCTCACTGCAGAGCCCAGGAGCCAGGGGTTCTTCTGAGTGTGACCGTGTGTTCAATACTGCTCAGACCGGTAACCCACTCACGCGTGCATCAAGTGACATGGCCTCAGCTGTCCCTCGCCCGGGGAGGCAACTGCCATGACCTGCTACTGGGCTTTTAGGGCTGGCGGGGGAGGGGGGGCACCTTAATTCGCACCTGCCCCGTGAGGTCCCCATTTCAGATAGGGACCACTCAGGGACTGTAGCTCACTCTGCTCCCCCACCCTGCGGGCTCTGGGGTCTTCCAGCAGGTTCTCCTGGTAGTGGTGCCTTCACTTAAATACACACCTACCCCTCTGCCTCCAGCCTGTCTCCTCCCTTCCACGTGGCAAGGCCTTTAATTGACACTTGGCCCTGCCTGTCCAGAGGGTGACTCTGAGGCTCAGGAACCACGGGGTGTGCCTTGGGGTGAAGAGCCCGGCCCCCACGACCCTCCCTGCTGGGGGCAGCTGACCGCACTCCCTGTCCTGATCACATTTCTCCACAGGTACGGTTTTCCTAGGTCCCTCTGGGTATCACTTGCCTTTCCCGAAACCTCACATTCTCCCAGCCTCCTCTGGGGGCTCCCCCAACGCTGGGTGCTCCCTCTGTTCCCACGTCGCCCCATTGTCCTAGGTGCTCTTGGCTCAGTCTGGCTGCAGCTGGTTTGAGGCCGGAAGCCCTGGACCCTCTGAACATATGAGGCGTTTGCTTCTGGAGGCCGCGGTTGCTCTCTGGAAGCTTGAACCCCAGCACACTTGGGGTCCTGTGTGATCCGCACGCCCATCGCTTCACGGGTCACCTCTGCCCTGTTTCCCTTCCTCCTCCGGAGGGCCCGCTAGCCACCCAGCTGGGCCCTCATTCTGTTTACCTGTCTCGCTTCTATTCTCACACAGCACTTGCCTGCTCCTGCGTCCTGCCCCCACAGAGCTCTTCCCCTTGCTTTTTGTCAGCATTTTGGCAACCACTTGTAACTGCGAAGGCTGTTGGCTTTTCTCTTTGTTGGTTTTTCATAGTTTTCTAGGTTAAGGTGTGCTGGAAAGGTCTCTTCTCCGAATGACCCATTAGCTCTGCTTTTCCAGGTCTTTCTTCTCCCTTCCATGGTGCCGGGCCAGGCTGGGGAGAGGAGGCCTGGGAAGCTGGTGGACTCTCCCAGCAGGAGCTCCATGGGCAGAGAGGCAATGGAAGAAGCCTTCATGCCATGGACCCCCATCCAGAAAAAGATGGCTTCGGCCAGGTGGCCAGCCGGGGGACTGGGGTTGCCATTCATTTCAGTCACTTTTTTTTATGAAAGAATGGGCAAGGGTCTCACTGGGTGCACCCCCACCTCGTATGGACCCTCTGCTTCCAGCACCCTTGCTACGGCCCCCTCCCTGGGCCTGCCGCACCCTGCCACACACACCCCCCTCCTCTCTCTCGGGCTGTGGCTTCCCCCACCATTGCAGCCATCAGAAGGCTACCATCCACCCCTCCATGTTGGTGCTGTCAACCCCCCCCCACGCTGACTCTCAGCACAGAAGGAAATGGGACTGCAGGTCCACCCAATTGAGCTGGTGACTGGTGAGTGACGAAGGGACGAGCTGCCCACGCCATGTCACCGAGGCCCTCTCCAAGGCACAGGCCCAGCAGGTGCACCCAACCCCTCACTCAGGTCCCTCACTTCACAGGCAGTGATGTGCCACCAACACAGCATGGCTACCAGCACACAGAACAGTGGCCCAGCTTCTTCTACCGGGAAGGGACACGCCACAGACACAGGGAGCTTCCACAGTGGCCTGAAGAGGTCACGGAGGTCAAGGCCTTGGGTTTGTCAGGTGGGAACAGGGAAGGTGGGAAGGCTGTTCTGATGATGGGTCCTGGCCTGGAGTCGGCACGGACCGCTTCTCTGGTGTGTCTGCAGCCCAAGAACTCATCTCAAACAAAATCTAGAGGCTGCAGCGACAAGAGTCGAGCCCCAGCCCTGCCCCCCTGGTGCCTCCCACTGGGGGAGGGCGGGAGACACACAGTTTATATGTGTTAGCCCTGCCGGCAGGCCTGCAATCACAGGTGAGGCGGCATGTGGCGAAGGACACGAATGACCACTATTCTATGAATGATAGCATGGTTCGGAGCATTTTATTAACAGCAATTATCTTTAGTGGGGGGGAAGTCAGTGACAGTGGTGACTAGGATAAATGTTGGGACAAATTTTACAACGGATGATTCTGTGGCTGGCCAGTGAGGGAGAAGAGACTCCCGAGTGCCTGGTATACATGTGGCAAGTAGGTGTGCCAAGGCCAAGAGCAGCAAGAAGGCTGGCTGCCCGGGGAGAGGGCTGGCTGGGAAGTCCATGCACAGGGAGGACTGGGAGGACTCAGAGGCTCTGGGACCCAAAGCCACCCCTTGGTGGCCGGGGGGGGAGGGGGGCTCGGGAGAAACTTTTACAGTCAAATGCTTTCTTTCACTGCTACTGCCTGAGGCGGACAAGCGCTGGGGAGGAGGGCCGGGGAGTGAGATGTCCACAAGGGCTCCGAGTTCTCCCCGCCCCGGCAGTCCAGCGAGCCACGTGTGCGCCCAGGCTGTGCCGACACCCCCGGGAGACCTGGCAAGGCCCTGAGGCTCGGAGCACACAGGAAGTGCACGACAAGCAAGAGCTGTGCGCTGCCTGGCTGAGTGTGGATGAGAAATGAAGCTACCTGTCCAAGAAGTTCCACGAACTCCAAATGGGGTGAAGTCAAAGCAACCCACACCGAGGCAGATTAGTACTGGACTGTCCAGAGCCAAAGACCAAGAGGATCTCTGTGACATCGACCGCCAGTTTCACATCGCCAGCTACTGTGGCCCACAAAGCCTAACTTTATTATCTGGCTCTACACCAGACAAGTTTGCCACTGTCAGCTACGCGGCGATGACAACGAACAAATGACAGAGACACTCGTGGGAGATGAAGCTGCTGACAGGAAGAGACGTGGGGCTTTCTAGGGTGCTAGCACATTCTCTCTCTCTTGACCTGGGTCATGGTTAGACAAGTAGTCACTTTAAAATCACTTCAATTGGGGATGCCTGGATGGCTCAGTGGTTAAGCTCTGCTGTCATGATCAGGGCGTGATCCTGGAGTTCAGGGATCGAGTCCCACGTCGGGCTCCCTGCATGGAGCCTGCTTCTCCCTCTGCCTGTGTCTCTGCCTCTCTCTGTGTGTGTGTGTGTGTGTGTGTATCTCTTGCGAATAAATAAATAAAATCTTTAAAAAACAAATAAGAATAAAATCACTTCAATTGGAATAAAGGGGGTTGGCCAGAGCCCAGGGAAAATAAGCAACTGTTTTCTATTTCTCTTCCTGTGAACTGAGGTTCCTACCTGAACAGTATTATTCGTATAAAAAAGACCTTCTCCGAATGCATATTTCTGTAATAAAACAATAAACTCATTCAGAAAAAAAGTTTAATTGAGACTACGTGCAAATACAATTTGCCACATCCAGTAACAGAAATGTCAGAAGGGTCTGACCTAGCACTGCCCAGACAGACAGACCCAGCGTGGCCTCAGACACAAATGCTGACGGGCCTCACCACCATGACGCTGGGAGCCCCGTCCTCAGGACACAGTCTAAACTGGGAACACTAATTGAACACCAATAAAACTATTCTTTTAAATAAAAATAAATAAATAAATAAAACATAACCTGTTGGTGGACTGAATGAATGAATGAATGAATGAATGAATGAATGAATAAATAAGGAACACGCTTTATGTCTAAATGTGTTTCCTGCATCTCTTGGCAAGCTTGCCCGGGGGAGAGGGGTGGCTTACCTAAGTGACCCAGGCTCATGAGGGAGCATCCGCAGACCACGGAGCGGGGTAGAGAAACCACACTGCCTCTGACTCCCGCACAGAGTAAACCAGTGCCCACATCCCAGCTCGCTTCCCACAAGGGGGTCTTCGACACTCCTGTCCTTTACAAAGGTGACATGATCCTGCACCTTCCCTTTAACCTTCTGCAGTGTGCAGTCAGTCCTTCTTGTCTTCGAAACCAAGTTTTGCAATAACAACGACCCCACCATACACACGTACCCTTATTTACCCAAGCTCTACCCAATGGTAAAACCGTGGATTGCTTCCGTTTTCTACTACTGAGAATTGGGCCAAGCACCATGCGTAACAGTAAAAAGCTGAGAATGACCTACAGGCTGGATAATAGGAAATGTCAAACAAATTATGGCAAATACCTGAGTAGAAGAGTGTTTGATAATTAAAAACCTCACTTCCGGAACATGCAAAAATGCTTCTAACATTCTTTTAAGTAACATCCACACCCCTCAACGTGGAGCTTGAGCTGACGCCCTCAAGGCCAAGGGTCGCATTCTCTCTACTAAGCCAGGCAGGCGCCCCAGGAAAATGCTTATGATGTGGTCCCAGGGAAAGAACATAACATAAAAGTGTAAATGTGTTCAGATTACACTTACACAGAGAAATAAAAAATGATGAGAGGCAAAAATATTAAAATAGAGATAAATAGACCAAAATATGAACATCAACCATCTCTGAGTTATCTCAACTTCCCACAAATAATATTTTTATATTATAATCTGTAGAAAGCAATTTTTTTTAAGGGAAGAAAAACCTTATGCGTCAGAAGAAGAAAGTCAGGGACGGTCCCCAGACACTCCCCAAATGCTGCTCAAGCAAGAAGGAGCTGCGTGTGAGGCCAGCACTCGGCCAAAGTACACTGGCACAGCCCTGTGTGGCACAGCCCTGTGCGCCGGTGTGCGGGTGGGCATAGCCCCAGGAAGCGGCACCCACGTACCTAGACTCATGATGGAGTTGCTGCTGCCCCAACACATCTGCTCGCCCTGCTGCTGCTCCACCATCTGCACGGCATTTGCCGAAGTGTCAGTGACCTCCGTGACCGCTTTCAACAGCTGGGAGGAAAGGTGAGAGGGAGGCACGGAGGCATGAAATGCTGGTGGTCTGATCCTGCTTCCCACCCAGGGTCACATGGGACACATGCTCTTCCCAAGACCCTCTAGCATGTGGCATCGACCCGCAAGACGGACAGCCCGGGGTGAGGACAGGACTCCCGGCCAGCTGGTGAGTCACCAACCAGAGTTCCCCATGGTTGGTCCCTTCCTCCAGGCCCAGTGCAGTGGGAAAATCAATGTCCCAAGATTTAAAGTGGGGGGCTTCCTGATGAGAAGGGAATGTACCCTATCCTGCCCTGTTGGCAGAACTGCGAAGGACAGGCCCGTCAGAGGTCTGGAAGTCTAGGAGTCTCTGTGTTAGACAACCAAGCCAGGGCCTGCTTCAGCAGCACTTAAACTAAAATAGGGGGAAACCGAGACAAATGTCACGGAGGCCATGAGTCAATGTCTGAGTTGCACGTGTGGCACGTGTGGCAGGTGCACTCATAATCCTAAGCAACCCAGGGTTTTAGGTTGGACTCTAGGGATCTGACACGTGAACAACAAAATGAGTAAGTCAATATTTATGTAGTCAGCTCAGCAGCGTGAGACCACTTTTTCCTATCTGTCTGAGCTGGGTCAAGAGCACAGCCAGCCAAACATCTGGCTGGCTGGCTGGCGTCGTTCCTGGTTGCACACCAGAATAAAGAGGCCATGATACATCTGTGCGTACTGTGAAGACAGTGACCCCAGTATGGAGACCAAAGCCAGAGGCGGGGACGAGGGTCCCACACCGTCAAGCAGGACCCAGCGTGGGCAGGACATGGGCCTCTTCTGGGCCTGGGGGCTTGGCTCAACTAAGAGCCCCCTGAAGGGGAGCGGGGCGGTCAGGGGACATCCCTGGCAGTCCTCATCCCTCCCAGGCACCAGGAGAAGCGCCTTCCCCACCCACCCCAGGCCCGTGCCAAGCCCGTCCCAGCCCCCTGTGGCAGTGGCAGCTGGGAGAGAGGGGAGGAGGGGAGGAAAGACTGGTTGTTACCTGGCTGCACGAAGTCAGAGTCTGGTACACGGCCTGGATGATGGGGCCACACGGGTGCAGGTAGGGGCCCGGACGCTGGCAGCACTCACCCAGCTCGTCATCGTACACTTGCAGAAAAGCCACAACCAGCTGGTGGAAGTCGGAGATGACCAGGCGCAGCTTTTGGTCCAGGGTGCTGGTGTCGGCCCCACTCACAGCAGCTCCTTGCTTCTGCTGCGCAAAGCACTGCAAAGCCAGAGGCGGAGGGGCCCTTGAGGCTGCCCCGCCTGGCCCCGGGCCACAGAGGCTCGCCCCGCATCGTACAGAAAACCAGACGCAAAAAAGAGCAGCTTGGTTTTGAGCAAAGCCGCCTGGCTTCCCCACCAGCCTCAGCCCCCCCACTGCTGCCGGTGTGGGCCTCAGTCTCCCCCTCGAGAAAAGGAGGAGGCCAGGCCAAGGGCTGCTGGGAAGGCCACATGTAAGAAAGCACGTGGAAGCCCAGACCCCAGGGCCTGGTGCACAGCTCGCAGGAGGGGGATCCTCTTCATTCTTCAGAAGGCCTCCCCACAGCTGCCCAAGGTTTGTCTGCCTCTCCCCTTCACATGTGTTGAGCATCCACACCATTCTAGAACCCACCGAGCCCTGGGCATATACCTACCACCTCCCTTAAGCCTCACAACACATCCATTGTAAAGATGGGGCACCCGAGGCTGGGGAACTGATATTCCTTGCCCTAAGACACACAGTGGGGGGCCTCTCCAGTCAGGCCCTCACCCACTCCCAAGCTTCACGGCCCCCAGAAGCCGGCACCCCTCACCTCTACCCTGAGCGTCTGCAGCTTGGCAACACTCTCCTGAAGCTGCCTGGCCAGCTCCATCACCTTCTCCTCCTCCAACTCCACAGAGGGGCGGGCCCTGCAGGGAAAGAGAGGACCCGGGCAGCTCTGTGCCACGGCAGGCATCGGGGCCCCCACAGGCCACCCGTGGAAGGGCCAGTCTCGGGTGACAGAGCCAAGGCGGACACGTACCTCTGCCAGTCATCGCTCTGCTGCTCAAGGAGGGGCTGCACGTCCACGGGCCACGGGTCACACTGTGGGCTCAGGAGCGTCTGCAGGCATGGGCTGGATAAGACCTCCCCCAGCAGCGCCTCGTTCTTCTCTCTGGTGTCCTCCAAGTGCTCCTTCGCACTGCCAAGGCAGCCCCGAGGCCGTGGTGTCACTGGCCAGAGCACGGCCGCCAGGGACCAGCTGGCAGACTGCCTGAGACCTCGGGCCAAGGGAGCCCTCAGCCCCTGGGGGAGACCGGAAGGGCAAAACGACACCAGGCATACAGGCCAGGAGACAGTGTCTCCCCCATCCTCCGTCCCTGCCCTGCCTTGGCAGCCGGGACCGAGCCCCTCGCCTTGGAGAGCCCGCCTGCCTGCAGGGACAGCACCGGTGCCACCTGCCGCGGCTGACACTGCACCTTCAGGGGCGATGACCTCCCTGGGCTCGCCCGCCAGCCATCCTGGGAAGGGCCCATCCCGAGCCTTTACCTGGAGCAGCTGGCGCCTCCGACGTTCAGGCTCCACACCGCATCCAGCAGCTGGTCCATGAGTTGCAACTGCTTCTGGGCGCAGGCCCGGCCCTGGGCAGGGAAGAGCGCGGCGCTCACTAGCCGGCCAGGCCGGGGGCCCCCGCCCCGCACCTGCCCTGCTGGGGCCCCTGCAAAGGAGTGCTTGGGACTGGCCTGGGTTGTGTTGGTGCCAGGAACCACGCTCTGGCCAGTGCTGTAGAAATATCCAGGGTGTTGAAGGCACGACACAGCCCGCGGGGGACCTGATGGTAGTCTACTCCTCAGGAACACCTCCGGGAGAAGCTTATTCTCCTTGGCAAATCGCCCACCCCAGCCAGGGGAGGCCCGTGCCGACCTGGGTCCTCACAGGAAGAACAGCTGGCCAGACTTCCCAGCGGACACAGTCCCCACCCCGACGGCAACTGGGATCCCCGACAGGGACCCGCCTGGCCTGGAGCTCCGGGCTTCAAGGAGGGGGAGGCTGACCACCGATCCTCCGGCCCAAACCCTGACAGCCGGAGCGGCCCGGCCTGCTCCAGAGAGCCCCGTGTGAGCAGTGGAATCAAGGGGAACGCTGAGCCTGCCTCTCCCTTTTAGGTCCCCGCTGCCCCTCGCCCTGACACGCCTACTATTCTGAGGAACGCCCCGGAATGATCTGCACAGCCGGCATCACCGCAGATTCCTCCAAGCGTCTGCACTTGAGGTGGGCAAGGGAGGCTCAGGCTGTGGTGGCGTTTCGGGCTAGGCAGCCCTGGGGGGGCAGCAGATGTGGGGCCGGGGGCGTGCTCGGCTCTCGCGTTTGCAGCCCAGCTCCCTGCCCTTGGGCGCCGGGCCTCGGGGCTACAGCCGTCTGGCACTGCCCCGCAAGCCCGCTCGGGGCCATGGAGCCAGTCAAAGGACCGGTGACTCTGGAAGCTCCTCCGAGTGAAACTGGCTACTTGGGCCTGATTACTACGTCGTTGACTCATTCTCCCCATCTGCCCAAGTGACACTGAGTCTGAGTGACACGCTTGAGGGTGGCCTGAGGGTACAGGTGGGGGTGGGTGGGACACCGTCCAGACAGCAGACAGCCAAGACAGAAACACGACCGCAAGTATCGCTCGGGGTCTCCCAGAGCCTTGAGCAGTGGCCAGGGCTGGGACACCCAACCCGCTCCCCTTCCTCGGCACAGCCTGACTCTCAGAGACCCCCAGTGCCCAGGAAAGGATAGGTGTCCCGCTCAGGGCTGTGCCAGCCTGGGGTAGGGCTGGGACCGTGGTGCTAAGCGCACCAGTGATCCTTTTTAAGTGGCCAGTGCAGTGGTTATTAGGACAGCCACAGAGCCGTGCAGCCACTGCCACCAGGGAAGTTCAGGACATTACCATCACTCCCAAAAGCACGTCACTCCCCACACTCCCTGCCCCAGCCCCTGGCACCCACTGATCGCCCTTCTGTGTCTATGGAATTGCCTCTTCTGGACATTTCCTAGAAATGGAATCTCACGTATGGGGTCTCTTGTGAGCGGCTCCCTTTGCTCAGCATGTTTTCAAGGTTCCTCTAGGCTGCAGCACAGGTCAGTAGTTTGTCCTTTGTTACTGCTAGTTTATTCACTCACCACGTAAGGGGAATTGAGGGTTCTTTTTTTTTTCCCTATTTTGTGGCTCTTATTCAGTATTTCCTGTTCATGTCCAAGTTTCTGTGTGGACATCCATTCTCCCGGCCCTAGAGCCAGGAATGGCTGGTCGTGCGGGAACTCTAGGGTTTGCCTTTCTGAGGAGCCACCAGACCGTCGCCACAGTGGCTACACCAGCAGCAAGGTGCGACGGCCTCAGGGTCTGCCCAGCTCAGGGTGCAGGAAAGGGGAGCTCATCAACGTTGCGACTTGCCTTTCCCTGACGACTCATAATGGTGAGCATGCTTGCGTGGGCTCCCTGGCCATTTGCTCATATTTTTGGAGAAACGTATTCAGATCCTCTGCCCATTTCTGAGTTGGGTTACTTGCTATTTACTTACTGAGTTCTAAGTGTTCTTTATGTATAGATTCTGGATACTAGATCCTTGTCAGATCCACGACTGACAAAGACTCTTTCATTCTGTGCATTCTCTTCACTCTCTTGATGTCCTCTGAAACACCAAAGGAGGGGCACCCGGGTGGCTCAGCAGTTGAGCATCTGCCTTTGGCTCAGGTCGTGATCCCGGGGTCCTGGGATCGAGTTCTGCATCGGGGTCCCCGCAGGGAGCCTGCTTCTCCCTCCGCCTGTGTCTCTGCCTCTCTCTCTCTCTGTGTTTCTCATGAGTAAATGAATAAAATCTTTAAAAAAAAAAAGTTGCTCATTTTAGTGAAGTCTAATTGATCTATTTTTTTTCTTTACTAGTCCTTTTGGTATCAAAGTAGATTTTTTAAAGACATTGTGAACTCATGGATTAGAATTCACACAAAGGTCCTCAGTCTACCACAGTCACTGTACTTACAACGCATGATACATCATGCGCACAATGTCCTCTCTTTGGCCAGTGAGGGCTTCTCTCACTAGCTGGCTCCTTACTCCTTCAGATGTACCTGTTCTCTCGTGTACAAGCCATTTCAGACTCAATTGCTACATTTCCTGTCTCAGGCCTGTCTTACAACTGGAGTGTCATTGTCTTTGGCCTTTTAAGAGGACAAAGCAAGGACATACACAGATATTCCTGCACTGTTTTTTAAGTGAAAATAAACAGTAACAATTCACACTGATATTCCCAATCCAAATTCCAGACTACAGGGTTTGACCAAACCTAATAATATTACACCAGTATCTCCTTTCCCCCATGCCCCAACTCCCAGCTCTCAATAATACCAACATAAATAATTCCTCTGTATTTATTCTGTATTCCATAAAAAGGAATGGAGTACTGATCCATGTTCCATCATGAATGACCCTTGAAAATATTGTGCCTAGGGGGACCTGGGTGGCTCAGTTGGTTAAACAACTGCATTCAGTTCAGGTCATGGTCCCAAGGTCATGGGATCGAGCCCCATGTCAGGCTCCCTGCTCAGCCAGGAGTCTGCTTATCCTTCGTCCTCTCTTCTTCCTCTCCTCCTCTTCTACTGCTCCCCATGCCTCTCCACCACTCATGCTCTCTCAAATAAATAAAATCTTTAAAAAAAATATTGTGCTAAGTGAAGAAGCCATTACAAAAGGCCACATACTGTATGACTCCACTTATATGAAATAGAGACAGGAGAATAGTGGGTACCAGGGCCTGTGGATAATGGGGAGTAACAGCTTAACGACCACAGGATCCCCTTTTAGGGTGATTAAAATGTTCTGGGACTAGATATATATACTTAGTGCTGCTTACTGCACACTTTTAATAATAGTTCAGATGGGGAACTTTATGTGTATTTTACCACAACAAAAACAATATATTTTTAAAAAGAACCCTTTGGAGACTGCTGAGATATTTTTTTAATGGTTAAAATGGTAAATACTTGGGCACCTGGATGGCTCAGTCACTTAAGCATCTGCCTTTGGCTTAGATCATGATCCCAGAGTCCTGGGATCGAGTCCTCCATCAAGCTCCCCACTCCGTGGGGAGTCTGCTTCTCCCTCTCCCCCAACCCTCCGCTTGTGCTTTCTCTCTCTCAAATAAGGAGGTAAATTATTTTCAAAAAGGTAAATATTGGGCAGCCCTGATGGCCCAGAAGTTTGGCGCCGTCTTTAGCCCAGGGTATGATCCTGGAGACCTGGGATTGAGTCCCACATCAGGCTCCCTGCATGGAGCCTGCTTCTCCCTCTGCCTGTGTCTCTGCACCCCCCGCCCCTGTGTCTCTCTTGAATAAAATCTTTTCAAAAAAATGTAAATATTATGCTATGTGCATTTTACCACAATGAAAAAAATCCTTACAGATAAAAAGGAAGGGAGGGGTTACAGATCCACGGAAGCCAGAGGGACCAGGTTTCTCCTCCCACATGACAGAAAGCATGTGACAGGTGTGTATAGTCTTGGACAGCTTTTCTCTCTCCCCGTGCTCATGGCCCCAGACACCAGGCAATACCATGTCAAGAGGGGGCAGCAGCAACAAAAGTGGCTGATAACAGAAAACCACTCTGGGAGCAGGGAACCTTCCTCTGCATTCAGTGGAGCTATGAGGGGAGCCAAACCATGTTACTGCTTCTTCCACTCTGTCCTCCCACCACTGTGGTACACTCACAGAAGTGGGTGGTTTATGGGTGCAGGACAACAGAGGCTGGCCCTTTCCTCAGGAGCCAGACAGTATCAAAGAGATGACAGGGAAGGAAGATTTAGGGAAAGTGACCCTATAAATCTGTTTACGAATGCCTAGGCTCATCCCCACCCACGCAGGGGTAGATCTGATCTTGAGGAGCATATGGAAGCATGATTACAGGGGAGGGACCAAGAGCCAGGTCCCAGGCTGAGCATCAGGGGGTACAGACACAGGACAGGCTGGAATAGCAGCACACAGGCCGCGGAAACCGAGCTGACACTGGCTGGAACCGCAGGCCAGGGAACCTAAGCAGGTCAAGTGCCTGCACAAACACAAATACCAACACTCTCCATAAAATGTCATAAGGCCCGGAGTCAAAGTCAGAGGCAGAATGTCCAGGATGCAATCCAAAATTACTTGGCTCCATGAAGAAAACCGTGAAAACCTCAACTTGCATGACAAAACACAATCAACAGATACCAATCACAAGATGGTACAGATGTTGGAATTACTTGACAAATTTAAAGCAGTCATAAAAATGCTAAATAAGTAATCATGAACAATCCTGAAACAAAAAATAGAAAACAGCAAAGAAAAAAAAATTTGTTTAAAACAGGAAATATCTTTTTGAGCTGGAAAACAGAATAACTGAAATTAAAAATTCACTTATGGCCCAAACAACAGAATGGGGGGACAGAGGCAAGAGTCAGTGAATTTGAAAACAGATTAACAGCAACCTTCCAGTGTGAGCAACAGAGAGGGAAAAAAACATTGAAAAAAACCAAGAGCATCATGGACCTGTGTACCATAATAAAAGGTCTAACACATGTGTCATAGGAGTCCCAAAAAGAGGGGAGAAAACTGTGTGAGCTGAAAAAAATAT